GGCGCTGACGCGGGGCGGCCCCTTCGAGCGGTGGCGCTGGTTGTCGCGGGATCCAGCGGCGCGGCGGCGGTCTCGCTGGGCAGCGGGGTGGCCTGCTGGTGGCGGCGCTCCGGCTCCCTTCGTTCCGCGCGCGGCGGGGCGGCTGCGTTGCTCCCGTCTCGGGAGGTGGCGCGCGGCCGGTCTCTTGCCGGATCCGGCCAGATTTGGCGTTGGGGGCCGACCGGCGGCGCATGGCTCCGGTGGTGCGTGCCCGGCGGCTCCGGTGCTTGGAGGTCGTCGGGCGGAGCGGGTAGGGCAGCGGTCGTGGGCAGCGGCGTGGGGAGGTCTCGGTGGTGACCTCTCGGTGTCGTGGCGGCTTCACGGTGGCTCGTCGGATCTGTCCGCGGCAGCGGCCGGCTTCTCCAGCGTCGGCTCGCCTGTGGTCGGGCCGTCTCGACCTTCACCCCATCTCCTCGTCGCCCGGGCGCTTCTCCCATCAATGGGCTGGTCCTCTCCCGGTTGCGGTCCATCGCTCGTCTCGCGCCCGGTGCCGCAGGACCGAGCTCGTCTCGCGCACGATGCAGCAGGACCGAGTTCGTCTCGCGCACGGTGCACCAGGACCGACCTCGTCCCCCTCTCGATGCTGCAGGACCGAGCTCGTCTTGCGCTAGGGGCAGCAGGACGGGTCGGTGGATGCCAGTTCTGGCTGACCTATTGGGTCTCGACGCTGGGGGTGGCCCAGGGACGCGAAAGGTGAGACCTTTCCGCTCGTCTCTCTCGTTGGGGTGCGGCGGGTCTCGGGTGAGGTGGTGTCGAGGTCTTGGATGCTGGGGCGGCGGCCCTGGTGGTGGTTGCTCGGTGCTCTTGGGCAGAGCCCGTGCCTTGGTGCTGCCCGGTCACCATGCTCGTGTGGGCGGCGTGGTTGCCGGGGTGTGGTGTTCGGTGGCGGTGATGGTTGGCCGAGGTGAAAACCTGCTCTATCTTCGGACGGACCGGCGGCGGCGAAGACCGTTCCCTTCTTGAAGGCGTCGTCGCGTCTCTCATTGCCCGTCATGCGGCTCCGGGGGAAACTCTGATCCTTGGATCGGGCGGTGGCGGCGCTCCGGTGTCGTATCCTTTCTGAAGGCGCCGTCTTGGAGCGCATGGTTCGTCATATGTAGTCTCACCTCTTCGGGGCCGTAGTGCTAGTGGTGGTGTTGCTGTGCTCAGCGCCTTTGTATCCTGTCCTGGGTGTGTGCGTGTGTTGCGGTGGCGTGACATGTGTTTGTACTGAATGCTTGTGGTTTGATGCTTTATATATAAAGCGGGGCGAAAGCCTTTCTCGGCCAAGAGAGGGAGACCCTGATGAACGGAACGTCTGTAGCAAACGGAAGACCTACAGTGAACCAGACACCAGTAGCAAATGGACTACCCCTGATGAACCAAACACCAGCGGAAAATGGAAGCCCCATGATCGCCAACCAGGCTCCAGTAGGAGATGGAAGGTCCCAGCTGAAACAGACACCGGCAACAGATGGAACGACCCAGAGGGATCTAACACCAGAGATAAGTGGAACTCCCCAGAAGGACCAAATACCAGTAGCAAATGGAAGGCCCCATATGGAACAAATACCGGCAACAAAACCGTAATATTCTAAGTCTCTATTTCTTACATAGTTCAGTTGATAGCTAAATATACAGAGATGTTATACAAAGATTCCTAGAAGTATCCTGCTCTGATAGGGATACAAAGCTATGTGGTGTGGCCATGGATTTCGAGTCGCGTGACTAGTCGCGACTAGTAGATGAGTCGCAAAAAAATGTCGACTCAACTTAGTGTCGACTCATGACTCGAGTCGCGACTAGGGCAACTGCAGGCTCGACTTTTTCCGAGTCGCTACCCCAGAATGACTCATCGACTCGAAAACCATGGGTGTGGCCACAGATAAAACTCCTTTTTTTCGTGAGAGTTTTCTCGCTGTTATTTCAGTTCTACTCAGTACTCACAAGATTTTATTTACCTGAATCTCACGATGCCAGATTTAACCTAGGTGTTTTTGCACATAGAAGGGGATTCAGAGGAGAGCATGTATGCCCTGTAATTTAGAGAACTGAAGTCACAGTTTTCATGAAAGGGTGTTAAAAAAAGGTTTCTTAATGTGCTAACTAAAACTAAAATTTGAAATCCTCGAACACAAGTGCGAAGACTGTTAAACTTTCCCAAAAGGTTCAAATAACCATTCATATCTGCATAATCCTGTGGTAAGATGCTTATTTTCATGACAGAGCTGGTTTAAGGCTGGCAATTCAAATCTTAAAATGGTACATATTTTTTTTTTTGAAGGTCACCGGGGAGGGAGAGGACTCCCCCACCTGAATTGTATTCAAATTGCCTATAAGACTTCACAGCCTTTTGCAGGATGGGTTCAAGTGAACCAGAATTACAGGGGGGCACAGGAGGAGAAGAGGTAAAGCAAAGAACACAACAAATAAACAAGGGAGAACAAAGAGGGAAAACACACCCCGACACAACACAAAGCACCCCCAGCGAGATCGAACGGCATTGGCCAGCCGAGAACAAGCCATGGCACTGCACCATCGACGCAATCGGAGGCATCACGCAACCAAGACTGCACAACGCCACGTCACCACTGCGTCGGGGGTGCATTCAAACGGTCACGCGAGGCCCAGACGACGCCACGACGCCTGTGTACCGCAGGCAAAGTCGGCGTCGCCAAGCAGACAAACCCATGACACTATACCATCGACGCAATCGAAGGCGCGCACGGAGGAGCGACGCACCGCCGCCGCCACACGAGCCCCCTGCTCGTAGACCGGCCGCTTCGGCGTGCCAGAGCCCCGCCGCCGCCGGATCCGCGCGGGGCTTTGCCCGGCGGAGGCTGTTGGGCGGCGGCGAGGGGGAGGGAAGCCGGTGGTGGGGGGGCGCTGCGATGACGAGATGCGCCGCCGCCCGAGTCGCCCTGGGGAGGACGACGCGGGGGCCTTTTTTCTTTTCCCTCCCAACCACTTCCACTTCGTTTGGTACTTTGCCAAAATGGTACATATTGTATTGCTCCAAAACTAAAATGTTGTTGGCTACTACATGACAGAGCTGGTTTCTCTTTCTTCACGAAGGTTATATTCATGACTTTTCAGTTGTACTGTAAATATGACTCTGCATATACATTATCTCTTCACTGTTTTGCTCATTATGTCCTTGTTAGATTTTTTGATTCTTGACAAAGCTTGCTTATTAATGTCAGCCTTCCTGCATGTTCCACTTATACTACAAGGCTGTCAGTTCTGAAGCCAAAGGTAGAACAGGGTAAGGTAAAAGCAGCTCACATGGTTGGTACAAGCTACAGGCTAGCACCTTCACAGAAAGAGGAGTTGAATCAAAAGGTCAATCCCCAGGAGCCAACTAAGAAGGTAACCTGTGATACCTTGCCCCTTTCCATCGTAATGAAATTGGTATAGCATTCCTCGAGCAAACAAATTGAGTTACGGTTCTTAGAAAAGCATACCTATGAATTTGCTGGAACATGCTTCAAGCTGCAGCTATAACTTTTCATATGTGCTTCTGCAGTAGACTGAAAAGTTGCGCCTGCATTATATTCAGTGTATAATCGTGGTTTCGTACTTGTGTTTGAAAATGCAGGAACCAGTTAACATAATCATCGGTTCAGATAATGACAATAAAGGGTGCACTTCCGGGGGGATTCTGAACATGGAAGCAGGTAGAGTTCATTCCTTTTGTGCATGATTTTTGTATGTCGATTCTGTCCTGCCTCGAATAGGAGAGCGAGACCCTAACTGGTAATCAGTTATAACAGAGAGATAGTCATCGGCGATTACAATTTACCACTTAATAGTTTCTATTGCAGCATGCATTGTTATTACCAAAGAACCAAGAAATCCTCATTTGCAGCACAAAAAGTTTCAAATGAAAAGAAGCAAATCACACCCTCTGTTATGTATATATGCTGCAGCTGACCTGAGGAAGGAAGTCGGCAGCGAGTCGGGCCCGCAGCTTGTGTGGGGGGCGAGGAAGATGAGGACGAGCAGCGAGACGCTGCCCATTGATGCCGCCACCTTGCTGCCAGGAGAAGGGGAGAAGAGGAGGCGGGGACCTGGACGAGACACACAGAAGGGCGAGGCTGTTCATGCGGTTGAAGCCACTCCAGCAAAGCGGGCTCATCGGTTCAACCCCAAGTACGACGCGACCCTGTGGATCACCTGCTGAGGCGGCCCGAGAAGCCACGTCGGCGCCTGGCACACTGATAAAACGATGGTTGTTCGACTTTGGCGACATCGTCAATGCACATAGTATCGTTTCACCTATGACCCCCACAACTCAAACATAGTATCGTTTCAACTCACACATGTACATCATTTCAACTGTTGTTTACACATGAGGAACTGACTGCAGAATTGCAAATGAGGCACTACAGCTAGCACTTGCAATATAGTACCACGATGAGCTTCCCTGTGTTGGCCCCTGATGATATCCCCACCTGCAAAATTCGATAGGTGCAACAACAGTTCAATGAAGTCGATCGAGTTCCACATGGGCCAACTTCAGCATCTGGAGTCTGTTCTTCATTTTGATTCTTGCCAAACATACATTTTCTTTTGGTAAAATGGAGCGGTAAAAGGTTTGTTTTTGCAACTTAATTACCAGCAGACCCTCTTGCAGTTCCGACTTTATGGATAAAATTTTGGACCTGTATAGATAGATAGATAGATAGATAGATATGGCACTTCTGATTATGACCACCAATAATCAGGACCGGCAGGATAATCGATCGGTCCTGCTGCTGCTGCAGGGTGGAGAAAGAAGAGATGACGGCGCCCGTGGAGGAGGCCCTTTAGGTGAGAAGAGACTTGTTGGGACTGGAATAGAATCTGCCCTTTATGTGAGAATTAACACAACTCTCTATTTTCAATAAATAAATAAATAAATAACTCATATTTAGACAAATCCAAAAAAATTCTGCCCCTAGAATACATTACACGTTTTCATGAAAGATGGTACACCACCTTATCTCTCCATCGACTGATACTAGCCATATTCTTTTATAAGTATCAAATCTCGCAAACATAATTGAAAATGCATTACATGTACACACGACCATATGATTCGCCGAAAATTATTTCCAACTGACCCACAATGGCCAACTTCTCATACGGCCACAACCCAACCAAACAATGCTAGCCTCATAGCCAAGTACACGCCTTATTGGATGCAGAAACTCAAATTCACATCTCAAATTCCCAATTCTACTCAGCATTCTTAGTGGCGATCAGTAGTACATCCTTGAACAGACTCTCGAGGTTGGCCAACGACCTGCCACCAGGTTGTGTTGTCGCACGAACGGCTATCTCGCTCCACTCCGCCGCCTTCCGCCTCATTTCTTTCCCCACCCCTTCTCCTCCCATCACCTCCCTTATCCTCGCCTCGACCGCCTCCCGGCGCACGTCATCGCCAACTTCCATCCCAACGCCCCACTCCACACACGCGTAGCGGGAATTGGTTTGCTGCTCAGCGAAGAAGGGCCAACACAGCATTGGCACCCCGACACTAATGCCCTCCATCATCGAGTTCCACCCGCAGTGTGTCAAGAAGGCGCCCACTGCCTCGTGCCGCAACACCGCCTCCTGCTCGCACCAGCTCGCAAGAAGGCACCTGCCCTTGGTCGCCTCCAGGAACTCAGAAGGCAGCACGGCTGTATCGCCCTTTACCAGGTCATTCCTCACGATCCAGAGGAAGTCGTAGCTACAGTTGGCAAGCCCCCACGCAAACTCCACCAGCTCCTGCCCGGACATGGTGGTTATGCTTCCATAGTTGACATACACCACGGATCGGGGCTCCCTACCTCGGAACCATTCGAGGCAGGACCGGTCTTCTCTCCAGAGGCTGGGGCGTATGGCGGCGAGCTTGTCGCCAACATCGCCTTCCAAAACCAGCTGCTCAGTGAGGAAGTTAAGTGGGCTGATGATGTAGACGGGCAGAGGGAGGATGGAACACATGGCGTCCAGAGCCGTCTGCTCAAGCTCGTCAAAGGTGTTGAGGATGACCGCGGCCGCACGGTCCGACTGCTCGACCTCATGCTTGAGGAAGTTGAACATCACGTCGCCAGGGTCCGTCGTGCGGATGAAGGATGAGAAGTCTCGGAGATGCATGTGCTTGCTCATCCCACGTGCCTGTGCCACCGGCGTGTCCAAGTACCCGTTCTTTACTTGCTCTTCGTCTGCTCAGGTCAATGAGAACGCCCAACATCACACACATGGAATGCAACATATCTTCGGGACATGGTTGGCTGGTTGCTAGTACTTGTTACAAACTGGGCATGGCGCCATACATACCTTTGAGAGGGGTGAGGCCCTCGTCTAGGAGGAACTGGAAGTTGCGGTAGCCCATGAAACCGCAGACACTGGCAGTCCAGAACAGCACACACGGCACGCCGAGTTCCACCGCGGCATCCATGCTAAAGCTCATGATGCCGTCCGCCACAATGCAACTCACTGGCGGCACCCCAGCCACACTGTTGAGGTCGTGGAGCAGGTTCCTTAGATGGGGGAGGAGGCAGGTGGTCATGATGGTGTTAAAAAAGAGACGAGCGAGAGAGACAACGAATGATTCAGCTGTCCTCTTCATTGATGATGATTTACATTATATGTCCCCTGAGGGGACGCATCCACCGGACGCGGCGTTTGGAAGAGAAGGGAGAGAAAGATGCGACAATTAGCATATGGCTAACTGCCTCCTAATTACAACGTGGAGATTATCCACATAATTAATTATAACACTCCCCCTAATCTACACTTGTTCATGCAGAATCATCATCTTGATTAGAGACTCCTTCAAAAACCCTGTGGGAAAAATATGAGGCGCATAGTGTTTTATATGTTGCCAAAACTTCTTCAAACCCAGTGGGAAAAATAAGGAGAAAATGACGCAACATATAATGGTTATTGTCTCGTTTAACTCAATATGAGAAAATCCATAGAGTTTAGAGAACAATAAATATGTCGTATATACTTTCCTAAAAAAAACCGGTGGGGAAAACAGAAAGTATGGCATATGATCATGTGTTGATATTACCTCATTAAAAACCTTTATGAGAACCTGTAAAGTAAACTCATAAAGGGAAAAAAGAGTATAATATGATGCATTGAACAAGAACAATTCAGGAAGATACCCCCCTACTTCATGAATAAATCAGTCACATGATTTAACTTGCAAGATATGCAATATAGCGATATTGCTTATTACGTAACCTGTTTGCATCCGGGCAACACAAGACACATTATCATTGAGATAATTGTTGGTGAATGTAGCCACGAGGTCTATTTCGAAGACTCTTCATGAGAGGGCTACCACACCTGGTAGGAACACTAAGTTTGTCTACGATCTGACATAGTGGGGATCTGATCGATGTATCCAATGATATCGGTGTTCACATTTCTATGAAACTGAAAAACCAGGACAAGATGTTTGATGCATTGGAGATATCTAAAGATATTCTTGAGAACCAACCAATTGTGTTTGGTGGATTCAATGACATTATGGAACATTGAGTCCCAATATCTCATTTCCATCATCTCTTGGTCTAAATAGATCTTTCTCTACATCTAGAGAATGAACTACCATGAGAGTTATGGATGGATAAGATTTGTCCACAATGAATTTCTCCAATATATTATGGATATAAACAACATAGTATACCATAATGTATGAATGAAGATGCTCAATTTGTAGTAACGAGCGGTACTTTAGTTTACCAAAATCCTTCATTTTAAACTCCATCATTTAGATGATTACATGTGTCGTCATTGCAGACACATAAACATGGATAATCATCATTGTAGGAGTAATCCTTGTGTATAAGGATCTCACTACGTCAGTTGTACCATATGTACTGACAATAATAAGTCGTATGGTGACTTATTGATTTTACACAATGTATGTCGATTCAGAATTGAGATTCCATCGAGAACCATCTATGTTTGAATCTAGTGATTCACATGTATATGTAATCACTACATCCATCAACTGCATAGATAGATGATTTTGTACTGCCAATGATATAAGTTATCGGAAAGAGATTCCATCTCTGAAGAATAGTTGGGTATCTGCGTGAACCCTTATGCTACAATACTTGCTCTTTGTGTCACCACCTCGGTGTTCTCAATTCTGTTTCCAGAAAAAAATTGGTGTAGGTATTGCTTATGAATACCTTCCCATTATTGAGCAAGATCATTTCTACCTAGATTATACCCTTTGCTTGAGTTCAGTCCGAGTGTTGTTCACACTTTGCCATGGCCATGGTCTTTGGCTCTGAATCATTTTAAAGGTTTTTGCAATCTAGTTGAGAAATGCATGTCGACAATTGTAGACTTCCGGTTATATGATTCTCCGGAATCTATATATCAATATATAGTTGATGGGAATATCATTACCCATAGTGACTGCTCGTGATTTCCCAATGCGATTGAGTCGGGTATTCCGATGTCCCGGTCATTTTGTGCATTATGACCTAGGTTGGTGGAGGTTTCCCGTCCACTGGGTGTATACTACCCATCAGGTGTCTGTCAACGTGAAGTTGACTTGCATTTACTGATTCACAAGCCTTGATATCCTTGCTTGCGAGAAGCTGAATCCTGATGTACTATTTTCGTACTTCTCCCCCTGTTGCTTTGAACGGGGAGTTGAGTGGTTTTAGTTGGTACCTCCACTCTTTCAGACATATTTTTTAGGATTGTAGGATTGTGTGACACCTCTATAGTCAGTAAATGAATCTGGCAGGTTATTTGCAATATGTTGCAAATCTTCGGAACGCATGGTTCAGATCTTTGAGTATGTGGATTTGAGGTAGAAATGTGTTGAACATTCCACTAATTTCCTGGCATTCTTTATGGTACTTGAAATCTCTCCCTAATGCCTGGAAATGTTCCTCATTGAATTAGCATACTGGCCTTGAATAAGTCCCCATATGAGGGGCTTGAGGTATTGACGGAAATACAATTATTCCTCGCATAGATCCCAACTATATGTTGAGAGGCTAATGATGTATGCCGGGTGGTGATATCGGTATGCAACCGAATTACCGCAGATAGGAAATGCTTGGTAGATATCCACATATCAAAGATAGAGGGGAATAATATAGTGTAGTTCTGTCATGAGCGTGTAAAACTACATGACTCCAACCTAAAGTTGGCAAGTTGCAATTCCAAAGTAAA